GAGGGGTCGTGAAAGATTAGCAGGCTGGAGTAAATGTGAGAGTCGATACGATTAGGAGTAGAGCTGAGAGTAGACAGACACACACACACACACACAGAGAGAGAGAGAGAGAGAGAGAGAGAGAGAGAGAGAGAGAGAGAGAGAGCATGTGTGGGTGTGTGTTTGTGTGTGTGAATTGCCATGTTCGGTAATATTGTCTAATTTCGCTTTCAAATCGTTTACTGATTTCGACCGAATGATTCGAGAACAAAGGACAACTGAATTTTCTTCGCCAATTTTGTAACGGTGCGTTTTTTTTTTTTTTTAATTGAGTAATTTTCTCTCTATTGCAGTGGGCTATGGCGATGGATGTCTCTGCCATAGATGCTTATTCCTGGTCGCCTCCCCTTCTCCAATAATTCCTCGTCTTCTCTATCCTTTGCCTTTGTCAGCCCGCGTTTTTTTCCAAAACAATTCCAAATTATTTTTTACTGTCTTCTTTCTTAATTTGGACTATTTCTCTGTTTATGCATGTCACCCCTCAATGACAGGGGCTATGTTCGTCTTCTTTGTAGGGTTCCAATTCTTTTTTTTTTTTTTTTTTTTTTTAATGACTATGATATCCCGAAGGACGCTCGCTTTTATTTTCCGAGTCTGCTTTTCTGGGTTGTCCTTATTTTACCAAACGTAATTTTTTTATATTTTTTTTTCCCGTTAATGGCTTTGTTTTACTGGCTGCGTTTCTTTTTATTTTGTTTACCTGTCTTCCCCCTTTTTTTTTTTCTTTTTTACGAAATTCACTGACATCTGGTAATTCCTCTCTCTCGCATGTGAAAGACACCAACGGAAAAAAATGAAAAGGATGAAATAATTGTCGTCGGGATCGATGAGTCACGATATGGAATTAAATTTAATTTACGAAAAAAAAGATAAAAATTTAAAACTGAAAAGTCCGAGGAAAATTGAAAGGAAAAGAAAAAGAAGGAAAAAAAAGATATGGAATTAAATTTAATTTACGAAAAAAAAATAAAAAATTAAAACTGAAAAGTTTGAGGAAAATTGAAAGGAAAAAAAAAGAACGAAAAAAAGAAAGGAAAAAAAAGGAGGAGAAAAGAAAGGGAAGAGAAAGGGGAGGGAAACGTTCTTTATACGCGTGGAGTAATGAATGCCGTTCAGTGTCCTTCGGCCAGATGGAAGGAAGCGTTGGTGTGTGAACTTTTGTATTTTATGACTTGCGGGGGGAAAGGAACCCCAGAAATGGATATGGAGCCAGGACCATAAAATCCTTCTTTTTTTTGAAGGGAAAAGAAAAAAGAAAAAAAGGAGAAAGGAAAAAAGAACAAAGAAAAAAGAGGAAAGAAAAAAAGAAAGAAAAAAGAGAGGAAGAGAAAGGGAAAAGAAAGAAACAAGTTCAGGAATGAAGGAAGAGAGAAGAGAAACACGCGAAAAGTGAGCAACAGCGTGTATGTCACGCAATTCGTTAATTACTGATAATTAAAAACGAGTATGAAAGGGAAAAAAAAAAACATTGTCGCCCCTTTTTGGGATGTAAGTATGAAATGAAGCAAGCGAAAAAGAAAAGGAAAAAAAAAGGAAAAAAAAGGGTTGTACCGTGTTGTTGCCCCTTTGGTTCGTTTCGTACTCACATACCAAAACTGCATCGTATCGTTTTTTTTTTTTTTCCTGGAATAACGTAAGCGATGGCGATAAAATTTCGGTAATTGAAAAAAAAATCCGAACGCGGAACAAGAACGGAAAAAATAAATAAATTATTGTATGTAGTCTGGTTATTTGTGTCGTAGAATATCTCATTTGTACAACCCCTTTAAGGCACAAAAAAATGTCTAAAAATGGGAAAAAAATAGAAAAAAAAGAAATCTCATGGGTAACTGATTGTGACACTTGCCTTTTTCCTCTTGTATAAGGGGATAGCCCCTTTTTGTTTTTGTTTGGGGATAACCCCCGTTATAATTCTTTAACTTAAATAGTAATAAAAGGCGTCTGATCCAATCAGAAGTCGAACTCGTGCCCTGTTTGTGGACAGTCACATGTGTGTACCTTTTCAGCCGAAGGAAGGGAGAAAGGGATTTTTTTTTTTTTCTTTTTTCGGTCAGGAACGGCGTTTAGTCCACAGTGGGAGTCCAGCTTGTCTGAGGAATTAACAAAATAATATATCATTTGCATAATTTTTATGAATTTATTAATTTCATGCGAACTTTCTTTGCCTTCGGATTTTTGTTCTTCTAAGCGAGTGATACATTAATGTGAAATATAAAATAAAAAAAAAGTGAAATAGTAATTAGTAATTACTTCAGTATGTTTTACTTCATCGCCTCTAGGCATCCTCGTCGATGCTGTACTTTTGTTTTTCGGTCTGGGTGTACATGCAAGTTTAGACAGGTAGGTGCAGACTTGTCTGTGATTACGTCCAGGTGCATTCTTACAGAGTTGGCAGAGAACGGAGGTCAATCACAGAGGCAATCAAACAAACAGCACCGCTCCACCTTCACGCACCTTCACGACTACATTCTTCACCCGAATAGAACGCCTGTTCATAGTAGCTGTATTGTGGGCAACTTTCAGTCCAGGTACAGCGATAATGACCAGGCATTTTATTCCGGTGAAGACGGTAAAGTGGAGGAAACAAAATTCATAGTCTTGATTTCTGCCGAAAAAGAGGAGGGAGATAAGGAAATAAGATGTTCAAATTCACGGTTTTTTTTGGTTTATTTATTTATTTATTTATTATTATTATTATTATTTTACCCTTTCTGAAAAGTGTTGCCCCTGATCTTACTGCATCTGCCTTTTTTCTTTTTTTTTCTCTACCAGACAGGTAATTTTACTGTAAACGAATCCAGAGCCCCTCCTCGCCCCCCCCCCCCCACACACACACAAACAAAAAAAAAGAAGGAAAAAAGTGCAAGCATAAAATCATTATCATGTTCAAACAGGAGTAGATGGGGGTCTGCAGCTTGTACCTTCAGACAGAGCCTCACCCCCTTGGCCATGGACATCCTCCCACCCTACAACAGTGGTCTTTCTCTCTCTCTCTCTCTCTCTCTCTCTCTCTCTTTTCTTGATAAGGAATTCGCTCCCCTACAGCCATCCCTTTTTTTTTTTTTATCAATTCAAAAGAGAATAGACACGAAGCGCAGCCAAAGGAAAAATCGTAATTCAGATTAGGCTATTCCTAATAGCAGAGTAAAGAAGCATTCCTATCCCCACTATCAACGTTTTAAGGTAGCTTAGTTGGTACACGCGTGAACTGATGAAGTACAGAGTCAAGATGGAATGCAGCTATATATTATAAGATGAACGGAACAAAATCATTCTGAATTGCCTGGGGGCCGGTCAGTCGGATGGATGATGATATCTCAATTCTGTGACCCTTTTCAAAATAAAAAAAAATAAAATAAAATAAAATAAAATAAAATAAAATAAAATAAAAATCCTATTCGTATAAGCGAAGTAGAGAAGAAACAAAAGTCTTTCCCTGTTCGTATTGAATGGCAGCAAGAAAAGAACACTCCGCACGTGCTCGAATTAGCACTTTCCAAAAGCATATGACTGCAATTACGGCCAGATGCGGATGCATCTGACTGTAATCACGACCAGTCGGGAAAAGTCTTCCTTTGAGAGTCTGCCCTCTCATGGTACCTCTGGATCACAAACTGATCTATTCAAACTTAACTGCAAGCACGGAAAAAGCAAAAAGGTTTAAACGGATTTTTCCCGCTCCAGGCCCTTTACTTATCTTGTCTACTGGAATTAAACCAACCAAGAAAGAAACTAAGTAATTTTAAATTTGGAATTTTCATATCTTCTCTCTCCCCTGCTCCTTTCTTAATCCACCCTCTTTCTTGCCGCTTGTAAATTCTCTCTTTTTTTTTTTTTTGTTTTTTTTTTTTGGTAAATTCTCTTTCTCTACGCTGCAACCGCCCACTCAGAAGCCCCTCACAAGAAGCCACCCAGTACTAAGGAGGAGAATCAAAGCAGAGCCTACCACTGTCTCGTCGAATACGACAAAAAACATGGCTAACTATACGTGCTCTCGCCAAGTACGACCAAAACAAGACCAACTCTGGGCGTTGCCGCACGGCACACACGAAACGAAAAACGAAACGAATGTATCGGCCCCCAGAAAATGGCCAGGTTCATCGGTTTGCTTTAAATAGTAACGAGTGTATTTTGCCACTTTTCGTGGGCAGATGCACTCGTTTCGTTTCCGTTTCGTGTGCCTTGCGGCGAGACCAACTTATATGTACATTGTACGCTATGCTGTACTCGAAAGGAAGTCCAAAATACCTTTCAGGAAATCAAGACAGAAGACAACATCACCGAATTCTGCACAGCATTATGAACAGATTCATACTATTTTCCATGAGCGGATTCACACCGGGTTTCCCATGTGCTCAACACCTCTTGCAATCCTAGTACCAGCGGGATGCTGCTCCTATCGCGGCAGGTTCTCCCAAGTGGCAGGTGCTTGGCTCGCTCAACCAAAAAGATGCAGCGACTCTCGTCTCCATGCAACATCCATGGACCGATGAAATGCAGACCTGAGTATGATGATTAAAAAAAAAAAAGAAAAAAAAAAAAGAGTTCGAATCCAAGAAGAAGAGGAAGGGAACAAAAGGAAGGGAAAGAAATGCCCTGATCATGGTTTCACTTCATTAACTGCGAGTTAACATATCGAAGGTTTGGAGATGAGCAGCAGCAAAAAGAACGTCGTCCATCCACCATGGCATGCTACACCCACTGCCAACATAGCCTCTCAATTTTGTGCGAAATTGTGAATGTAGTTGCCATCGGCTGCCAGGTGTGGCTGGATATGGTGGTCCCCCCTGGCCTGCGTCAAACGCCCGGTGTGGCACCGGTGCCCTGTGGCCAAAGGTGCTGCGTCGCATCGCAGTGTGCCGCCGCCCTGGTCGGATATGGTGGTCCCCCCTGGCCTGGGTCAAACTCTAACCCGGGCACCTGCAACCTTGGGCCAAAGGTCGCTGGTTGGATAGGGTGCGCCCCCCCCCCCACCCCCACCCCCCCGGGGTCTGGGTCGAACTCTAGCCCTGGCACCTACAACCTTGGGCCAAGGGTGGTGTGTAGCAGGGAAGCGTCCCCCAGCGCCGCCTTTTTGAAAGTTGAAAAGACGGAGAAACATATTGTTTGATCTTTGATGCGGGACCCATCTGCCTGTCTTTTTGCTCTGTGGGTTTTTGCGTTTTGAACCGCCAGTTCGCCTGCTGCAGAGCACTGCTCTGTCTGCTATACCTGGTACGCGCTTCT